AATAACATAGACTGGTCCTAAAAAGAGCCTGTAAAAGAAGGGAGACTTTGTTTTCTATCTCCTCTCCAATCAGACTGCTGCTTCTAGCCCAACAGAGAATAAATTACTCAAGACACGGAACATGGAGAGCAGATCTATCATAAACACAGACATCATTAAGAATTTTTTGCCATCTACTGAGAGATGTCCTGCTATAGGAAACCCCTAGAAATACAGTCAGTGTATTGGCTCTACATCATCTTCTGTCTATACGTAAATACATTAAACAGTGCTGAAGAAAATGAACACAGCTTGGAAACAGGGTGATTCCTAGACATGGGAATAATTCCCTAAAGGACTGCTGGAAGCGCACAAAGCTTAAAGCATCCCGAGAACGTGGAGTGATACAGAAGTGTGCTGTTAAACCATGTTTATACCTTTATTTCCTCCTGAGTTAAAGCAAGTGCAGAGTGCTGGGTTAGATTCACCGACAGCAGGAAGGAACTGTGCTAGCCCTCTGTCAGTGCTAATAGACAATGCTCACTTGTGTTGGAGTTACTAGTTCAGATCCATTCTGAAAAACCATGTAGGACACCTTTAGGAATTTCCACTTCTGATGAGTTTCTACTCCGCTCTGTTGACGTCAGAAGCAGCTCCGCCTATTTCATGTTCTCTTATTGTTTGCAATAGTCCTTCCCTGTCCAACATGCATTGAGTGTTTTTAATGTAAACATGCTCTTAAAATATGTTGAAATAAGTAAGAGACATGTCAGAATATCTCAACAATAGTGGTATTGCATATTTAATTCAGAAGCTTGCATGTGCTTTAAAAAGTTTCTCTTCAAAACTGCATGCCTTTTACTGGAAAGGAATTGTATAGAAGTTGGATTGCATGCCACTGTCTAGTACTGACTAAATATTGATATGGTATAGCAGTTCATTTTTAAGCTGTTTGGGATGAACCCCCAGCCAGTGTAAATTGGCCCACATTTAAGGCAATAGAGTGAAGCTGATTTATACCAGCTGAGGCTGTGTCCTTATGCCCTATTATAATCCCAAAGAATCCCAAAGTTGGCAAAGAATAGGGCAAGTATTACCAACCTAGGCAATATTTTCTTTCTATTTTTAGCAGAAAAACAAAATTACAATCATCTTATTTCAAAATTACACCAAAGACTCAGTAGTAATTTAAAACGTATACAAATATTTCGTAGCTAGTATTCAGACTAAGAGGTAGATGTCATATTCAAGGAATAGTACAATGTGAAAAAATGCTAACGGCAGTTGCTAAATACATCTATTTGTCTATTACATATGACACAAAGAAGAATTATAGCAAATGGCAGCTAAAAATAATAATTAAAAAAAGGCTTACAATACCCTTTTCTTCTTTTGCTATACTATGTTATCTGTCTTTCAGCTGCTGCGGGGTCTGATGGAAAAGTGACAAGAATTAGAAGGATCACTAATACAAAACTGCATGTTTACAAAACATCAGTTTTATCACGAAAGGCATCCTCCGTGCTTTGATGGAAGCATTTGGTACTTACAATTTAAGACTGCCTGGCATTACTGAGCAAGCGGTGGAAATTCCAGGTGAGGTGATTCAGCAAACTAGGGGTCAGAAAAATGCAGTTCTCTCTTTCTCTGTTGTGCCTGCTAAAAATACCAGGGCATATGGCAGCATATTTCAGCATCTTAACATACTAGGCTCCCCCGAGGACAGAAAAAAAAGAGAAAACTTGTGCTGTTGAGCCTGAAATAGATTACTGAACAGTGTTGCCAGACACAAAGAATGCTGGCAGCAAAGCCATCAGCACAGTCAGTGTTTGCCTTTCCTAAAGGTGTTTCAGTTATACTTAATGGGCCTTAAAGAGATAGAAATTAAAGCTAGTAAGAATAATGAGGAATATAAGCATTTTTATAAATTAGTTGTCATTGAAGGCAGAGGAATTACACATATTGCATTAGGATATCTGCTGCTTGTATATGTACCTTCCTGGTTTTCCTTGTGACTGTTAAGTGTCCCCCTGCTTGAAATAATCAAAATGCATATTATAATTACATGGTTTTCCAAAATCCATACACAGCAAGTACAAGATACTTACATGTAAATACACTATATTCACCTATATTTTTGCATAGTTTTTAGTGTGTACTTTGTGCCACTTAATAAAAGCATTACTCACATTTTTTTTTATTTTTTTTTTTTTCTCTATTCTACAGCTTATTCAATTAAAGTAGAAGTAGCTGGATTTTGGTATGTTCATCACAGATTACCAGTTCCTTGGAGTGTAGAGATCAGGTACTTGGAGGAGTCTGGATAAGCAGTGGGGAAAGCTGCAGTGTGAGCATGACATTTTAAATCACCTCCTTAATTAAGAAATATTGTATCAGATTAACAGCGCTAATTTAATAAATTTACCTTTAATTTGAATGGAATTATAAAGGTAAGAACTCTGTTTTCCTTTTGGTAACACTTTACAATAAGTGGCACTAAATTACACTATAACGGCTATGTTACAGGGAAGTACATGTATCTACGCTGTAACTGCTGAAAGAGCTACTGTACATGTGCGTACATGGTAACTTCAGTGCTGTTACAATCATGAATTACATAATTACAGATGATTCTGTCCTTTCTTTTCATTGAAATAGTTATATATATATATATATATAGTATACTGTCATGAAAATACACAAGATGTTAACTTTCATGTCTTATTTAGAAAAGTTGGTTTTCTCCACAAATTCCTTTATAGAGGGAGTCTCAGTGCAAGATGAACCACTCCTAAGAAATGTGAAAGCTTTTTAACGTGTTCTAGCTTAAAATTCTGAGCCTCAAAATTCAACATCAGGTTCCCTAAACTGTTTCTTGATTTGTCTGATGATGCTAAAAGAGTGTGAGGATGCACCCCTTGTCTTCTGATGCACAGCTTTCTTGTCCAAATCATGAGAATGTTCTTCAAACATTGGAAAAAAAGAAATTTAAAAAAAAAAAAAAAAACCACATTTAAAAGTGTAGAAATAATCAGCAACCGACATTGTAAACAGTACACTGGCAGAAACTAGCTACCTGGTTTTGAGAAAACTACTCTGCATGGGAGTGAGGGAGAGGGTGTCACACATATTTTGGCTAATGTCTTCCCATTCAGAGACTCCATTTGCTGGGTACCTTGCAGCCATCTTTAAAGCAATCTTTCAGAATGGGATCTTGACTAAAGGAAACAGAAAACTGGTTTAAAAACCAGCCTACTGAAAATCATTAGCTTTGAGGCATGGTTTTGCTTACAAAAGAGAATGATGCCTCTTCACACTTGGTACAGTAATTTCAATCTGTGAGGACTAGATAGGCTTGTGAAGTGCTACCCAGTCAGAATTTGCCATTTATGGCTGCTTGTTGTGGTTTTTACACCTGCTTTGCACAGACGTAAGTGACATCACAAGGTACAAGATAATGGAAGATCAACTGCATTAAAAATCAGCACACATGATTAGTTTTAATTGGAAACCAATGAAATAATACATTTCAACTGTCCAATTCATATCTTTTTTTTTCTTTCTTTCTTTTTTCTTTTTTTTTTTTTTTGCAAAGTTTAAATGCTGTTTTTATACTGCTGGAGAAAATGGTTCAAAACAATCCTGCTTTTGGAGGTCCTGCCTGACCTTCATTGGGCAACAGTTCAAGTAACAACTCTGCTATTCAAACAAGCTGGAATTAGGAAGAATAAAAAAAGGCATAAACATCATACTTCTGGGGAATTCCACTTGAGCAAATAAGGCCCTTGTCCAGGGAAGCACTTCTTTTTATGCGTAAGAATAGTGCCTTACAGTTCAATGGAACTTCTCCCATGCCTGTCACTGAGTGTGTGCTTAGATGCTTAGTTCAGTTGGGCCCCAGGTACTGAAATGAAACCTTGCATTGTGTGACAATTTACTGTGGCTAACTGGGAGTTACAGTTGTGGCAAGAATCCATATTTTTGGTGCTAAACTGAATGACTTCCTTTGCCAGCCTTTTTACATGTGTATGTTTTGAAAGACATGAATATCTTGTAAACCTATACTAGTTTTCAATGTGTCTAGTAGCACCTACCTGGTTCTCTCAAACTACCATATTATATTAACATATTATTGCATTTTTCCACAGATGGGTATGGAGTGAACTGTAAAAACAAGCATGCAATCACATCAATGCAGACTAATTTCTTTAAAATGTCATACTGTATATGATTTATTATGTTAACACTCAACCACATCATATTATTTATGTCTGTATATTTTGAAAAAAAGTGCTGCTTGATTGACGTCACCCTATTTTCTTGAAATTAACAAGATAAATGTTTCAACAAAAACAATTAAAATACTCTAGTATTGTCCTTAAAAGGTTTATACTCTTTTGATAAATAATCTGACACAGCACCTTTATCTTCCATTTTTCCATACTACATGATGTCATATTCCAAACTCTCCCTTTCCCACACAAAAATAAAATCCCAGGAGAAAGTCCTTTACAGTAGACCATCATGCTTTTAGGCTTCACAAACAAGTACAACAACCAGAGAGAAATATTCTTTTGTCAAAGGTGCAAAACTCAGGAGTACAACAAACTCCATCTAGACTAACTTGCATTCTCCAGTGTAGAATCATTACTAAGAGCTGTTATGGCAACCTTGTTACTTCATTGGAAGAGGAAATAAGCCAATGGGCTTACAGTGTTTTGTTGTCGCAGTTAAGAGCATGTGATTTTCAGCTGTCAATTACACAAAAAAATTCAGAAATAATCCAAACAGAGACTTTCACTGTGGAGCTAAAAGCATGGCAGGAATTCTCTATCATTCACGGTGACATAAGTTTGTACCTCACAAAATGCATAGACAGGAATTTAATATAAAGAATTAGTCCATTTACTGTATACACAAAACATATATCTTTTGTTTTAACATTTCTATTTTTTTTTTACTTTTTTTTTTTTTTACTTTTTTTTTTTTTTAACTTTTTTTTCTTTTTTTCTTTTTTGGCAAACCAACATAGAGAAGCAGCTCTGGAACTGCCAAATTAAAAACTGATAATTTTTGCAACTCAATAGTATTTTTTAAGGATTGTAATCAAATGTGGTTGTAATTTAAAACCTGAGGCTGTGCACTGGTTGTTAGCATAAAACTACCTTTCCATATAACATTGTGCTTCCATTGTATAACAAAGAAAAACTAACAAGAACTAGAAAAGTTTGCTGCTGAACAGTGCTAGGACATACAGACAAAAAAAATACTTATACATGTTACCTACTCAGAATATTTATTTGAGTCATATCTAAAGGGATATAATGACATTAGAAAATGCCTACTTGTGACTGACTTAGCTACTGCCAAAAAAGTTAAATATGTATCAAACAATGTTTAATTGAATTTATTATATGCACTATATACATATACTAAAATGTCTTGCAGTCATGCCCCATGGACGCTTCAAATTTGAGTAGGCAGGTGAGTCCATGTAAAGCAAATAAATTACAAAAACAGAAATTACTCACACACAAAACAAATCTCTAATCTTTGTAATCCCAAAAAAGCAGTATAATGGAAAGACAAATTTGTTTCAAATGAAGCACTATTATCTAAATTTGCAGAATCAGTTTAGCTATTCAGCATGATTTTATCACTGAAACATGGCACTGCTGTCAAGGTACCATTTAAAACATAATAAAGCAAAGCAAAGCAAAACAAAAAATTTAGTGGATGGATAGTTGTTTTTTTATCCCACCAAATCCAAGCACACAAAAAACTATTCTACAAAGACTTCTGTTTGTATTTCCTAGGGCATATGTCTCAAAAACAAGTTGCTTTTTTAATTATAGACATGTATAAAACATTCTTTGTAAACCTCTAGTCTTAGACTTAACATTTTATGTAAGTAAATTAGGTCCTTACCTAATAGTATTTGTTATGAATATTGTTCTATGACATACTAGTAGGGATCATGGTAAAAGAAACTGAAAAAGAAGAAAGCTGTATAACATTTAAAAATGTAGAAAACTTGAATTAAGATGATGATTAACATTGTTAAGGCTGTATATTCAAGCACTGTATGTTAAGAGAGCAGTGGATATGAATTTTAGGCAATAAGAAATGTCCTGCTTTATACACGATGCTGTAATTATAGAATGGGGATGTCAAGAGCTGATTGTTGGTATAAACTGGCTACTTAGAGCAGGTATGCAAGTTAATAAAGATAGCAGAATATGGCAGAAATGAAGTCTGAAAAATGATAGCCAGTTTTCTCCACCATTCAGCCTGATAAGTAAAACTCCAAGATTCTAGTTCTGTATCTAAATGAAATACTCCTTTTTCTCCTCTGCATTGACTTGGCTGCCTTCTGCATTGATAATGGCTGTGTCGGCATCAGGTGCATCTTCAGCTCCTTTTGCTTCGTTTGTTAAATATGTTCCTATAGGAATCAGTACAACAGGAAAAAAAAAAAAAAAAAAGAAAGAAAAAAGATTAGGTTTTTTTTTTTAGATTTACATTGTATTATAGGAAGTACATTTCTAACAGTGCTCCAATTGCTTCATGAATGGATGGATACGTTTACATTTTTAGTATGAATGATACTGGTAGGTTCAGCTTTCTACTTTGTCCGTGAAATATCTGTAGTATTAACACTGGTAATCCACATGCACAAATTCACATTTACTCATAGTAAATTAAAGAAATACCTTAAGAGAAGACCACCTTTTATGTAACTGCAGTAGTATGCAATATATTTGGTAATTATAGAATAAATGATAAAATCTTGGTTATTTCATGGAACAATTGTTCACAAAAATCAAATCAACTTTGAAGATTTAGATATTCATAAATGCTTAAAAAAAAAAAAAAAAAAAAAAAAAAAAAAAAAGACCACTTCTTTTTTGTACTTCTTTTTACATGATTTTACCTATGCTTAAATTTTACTGAATTGTATTACGGTCATTTCCAGGAATTACAAAACTGAGGTAGTTTCACTAACTAAATCCATTCATATTATACTAGCACACATTTTCATGATCAGGAAATGAATAAAAAGTATTGACCTTGACAACCACCTGCCCCTTCGTGAAAAATGTAATTTATGTTGGCATAAGATTTGTATGCTTTTGTTCAGAAATGAAAAACAAAAGAGGCACATTTCTACAGGTTTATTTTTCCCCTACATGGTCCAGTCAAATTAAAATGTTATTTGCATCAGCTGATGTCTGCTAGCCATATGATTATCCTACCTAAATGATTTAATGAGTTAACACCAATACTAATCCTTTCTTCTAGGCTTTTTTTTTTTTTTGGTGAGGATAAGCAAATCAACTGGGTTTTAACAACCCAGTCTGCAAGCTATTCAGAGGTTAAATCTCACAAAATGATTTCGGAATTAACTAGGTCAAAATGGGATCACAGAGAGGCTTAGTCAGAAGTCAGTGTCACTCCATCCCTCTTATCTCTGTTGGTGGTGGGGATTCACAATGAAAGGAATAGAATTCTTAAGGTGAAACCCCTGCATAAGGTAAAGCTTGACCTGGGAATGAAACTCTTACTCTGGTGAGACCGTTAGCAAAAGAGCTACTGATCTGGAATTTCACAATCAGTATTTAAAATTATTTTTTTAGTGCTTGTTAGAAGTATCAGCACAAGAAAAATCTTGTGTATGTATATAAACATGCATCTGTTGACTTGATATACTAGTTAATACTACAAGATTATATAATCAGGTGTCTAGAGCTAAAGGCTAAAATCAAGGGTCACTCTAAATCAATGATTTGTGACATGAACACAAAACTGGACATCTTTTGCCTTAGCTAGTCCACTGAAAAACTGGACAGAAATTCATGATTAGAGTGTGAATGGAGCTTTCTTGTCCAAACCATTCATCAGATGGGGGAAGGTGAAAGGGAAAAGCATTCCCAGGTGAAATCATGCCTTGCTTCCAAAAGGGACAGAAGTTCCACTAAATCTATCCTACCTTTATGTCTTGCCAGGTATCGACCAAGGAGAATTATAGAACATAGCGTTACAAAGACAACTACAGCCACTATTCCTCCTATTAGAGCGTGGTCAGGTCCGGTCTGTCCAGCCAAAGCATTTGGATCTACAGGGAGAAACAAAAACCAAAAATGGTCCTACACAGAAAAAAACTGACAAGAAAAAATCACAATACCAAGTTTTACACTGATCATCCTGAAAATAGAGCTTTTCCCACTTTAATATTTAGCATGGTTATTCCCACATTTACTACCCATATCTTATCAACAACACAGTGCCGCTTGTATTCCCAGACTGTCAAAGCCCTGAGGACATTACAGTTATGAAAAATATTACCTTCTTCTTCTTTGGCAGAGGTTATTAAATGGGAAAGGTTTCTGGTTTTGTCCTCGTCATTTTACAACTGAAAACCTGGCCACAGCTATTTATAGAAGGAAAAACAAGGAACCGAGAATTGGGGATCAGATAGCATCAGCAGAATAGTGTCTGCATAATACATAATTTATAGACCTGATTCTCAGTGGGGAACCCTTATATATTCTCTTCCTCTCATTCCTATCCTATTGCACCAGAAATAAAAAGGCAGATAAAGTGCAGCCTTGCAAAGTCCCTCTGCACATGGCTGAGTCTGCATGAATTTGGTCAGATAAAGGTATCGGGCAACCTGAAAGATCATCATTCATTTTCAAGCCTCGGTTTGAGAGTTTACTATGAATACTCAATTAGCACACAAACGGAACGAGCTGTAATATATGCAGCAGTGTATTCTCATGTCCACTTTACTAACTCTGGACAAGGTGCTACAATGAATGTTTTCAGATTTGAGTCTTCTGTGCTGGTCACCTGTCTGTTCTGTTGGCTGGTGCTTTATGAATGTTGCAAAGAATACTGGGAAATGACACTATTTAGAGGTGGGTAATTCTCTGGAACTTTTGAACAATGAATGAGCAATCTTTGTCAGCTGAAATATGCAAAAGGAAGAAAATATTCCATCAAAGAGTCATGTTAAGATTTCTGTTTTGATGAAAGCGCCTCAGCTACATGGTAATAGTAATTCTCTCAAGATGCTATTAGCATGTTCTCTATGTTGCTGTCAGTCTATACACACTGTTTCAAGGGCATTTCCCTTGTAGCAGCCATTTATATTCTACAAGTAGTCTGCAAACAATTTCTTTTTGCAAAACAGAAAGGCAGAAAAAATATTTACAGATAAAAGAAGGCTACCCTGCAAAGACAATTAAAGTCCCTCTGATAGTGCTTAGGAAGTGTGATTGTGTGACACCACAATTACATTATGCTGACCAAGATCACCGTTTAATGGTGAGATGTATTTATATATCTACATACACATGTATGTATAAACATAGCATTATTCAGATGAAATGAAAGAGGCATGCTTTCCCCTCTCTTTGCAAAACATCAGCCACATGGAAACTCAAAGTTTGCTGGAGCACACAGCAGTATGGGTCATGGTAATAGATACTGTTCTGCTCTTTACAGTCCCCAGACCCCTGAAGCATGGCTTCCTCTCCTGCTGCTGGCTTCAGAACTCCCAACTGTTTGTCTTCTGGCTGCTAAGAGGACTTACGGAAAAATGGCCACAGCACTTCTGCAGACATCACAGCAAACTAGTTAGGGGCCTCAAGAAAGCTAGAAACACATTATAAAGTCCACTGTCCCTGCCCCTTCTCCATCCTCATGAAAATTCTGGCTCGCTATATTGAGGAGGGGGGTTCAATTCAAACGGCCATCGGCTCTATTTTGATCAAGAAGGACCCTCATCTCTGTGTGCCAGCAGCCTTGCGGGAAAAGGCAGGAGGAGGGCTGAAATCTCAACCTGCCAGAGCCACAGCTTGGAGCCCACAGCCATCCTTCCCCAGGCCTTGCAGAGGCTCTGCTTTCAACAGCGCTTAGAAGGCAGTGATTACTCACTTGAGAAAATGGAAGGTGACAGCTTGCTGCAGGACTTTCAGTCTGCTTGAGCCATCTAGCAAATTCCTCCTTCTGTGGTGCCTGTGGCAAAGTTGCTGTAAACCAGCACCAATTTTGGCACTCAGGAGGAGCAATGTCCATAAGTGCTGTATGTAATCTGCAGGAGACGCTCTTCCCCAGAAACTGGGCAGGAGCAGGATGAATTTGTTTTCCCACTGATATACTTACATACTTGCTAATATAGTAGCATTAAAATTAACAAGTGAAAGGCAATATTTTGAGGGATAATATCCTTCCTGATGTAGAGTATAATACAGAGAAGGACTAGCATTGCACTTCATCCAGAGGTACTTTTTGAAAAGCTGATTGCAGCATACAAGCTCAATACCCAGATTTACACATCACTCTTATGTGAGCTTTAATAAGCACTGCAGACAGAAATTGTCGCATAAAGGTAATCACTATACACTGAAGTGAATATGCCTGTGTTTTCATCCTCAAGTGCTTTCCAGCATATAGGTCCTTCCTTTAGCATACCTGATGCAGTGGACTGCTTATGATGAAGATTAATGAGATTCTACTGTTCCTAAAGATTGACATTTTTAGCCCTAAATTTTAGTTTTTCATTGAAATGCAAAAATAGTATTGTATTGCCATTGAGAGAGAACTTTATGTTTCTCAATTTTTGTAAGATTATATTGATAAATATCGTCACAGAAGTCTATTCACAAAGAAACTGTCTATGAACTACTTTCATTCTCAAGAAGCCAAAAAAAGAAGATCCAGGGAACTACAGGCCAGTCAGTCTCACCTCTGTGCCTAGCAAGACGGTGGAGCAGATTCTCCAGAAGGCCCTACTAAGTCAAATGGAAAATAAATACGAGGTGATTTGTGGTGACCAACATGGTTTCATGAAGGGCAAGACATGTCTGATAAAGATGATAGTCTTTCATGATGGAGTTATGGTAGGTAAAGGAAGGGCAACTAACGTCATCTACCTGGATTTGCGCAAAGTTTTTGACACTGTCCTGCACAACATCCTGATTACAAAATTGGAGAAAAATGGATGAATGGACTACTTGTTGGATAAGGAATTAGCTGGATGTCTGCACTCAGAGTTGCATTAAACGGCTCAGTGTCCAATTGGAAACTGGCAATGAGTGGTGTTTCTCAGAGATCAGTACTGGGACTGGTGCTATTTAACGTCTTTGTAGGCTGTGTGGACAATGGGATTGAGTGCACCACAGCAAATTTGCAGATGGCACCAAGCTGAGTGGTGCAGATGATATGACAGAGAAAAGGGATGCTATCCAGAGGGACCTGGACAGGCTTATGCCAACCTCATGAATTTTGACTTGGGCAAGTACAAAGTCCTGCAACTCATGTGGGGCAATCCCAAGTACAGACAGAGGCTGGGTGGAGAAAGGCTTGAGAGCAGCCCTGAGGAGACGGATTTGGGGGTCTCAGTTGATGAAAGACTCAACATGATTTGGCAATGCGCACTTGCAGTCCAAAAGGCCAATTGTATCCTGGATTGCATCAAGAGAAGTGTGCCAGCAGGTTGAGGGTAATGACCCCACCCCTCTACTCTGCCCTCATGAGTACTGTGTATAGTTCTGGAGCCCTTAGCACAAGAATTCATTTGGAGCAGGTCCAGAGGAGGGCCATGAAGATGATCAGAGGGCAGTAGCATCTCTCCTATGAGGACAGGCTGAGAGAGTTGGTGCTCTTCAGTCTGGAGAAGAGAAGGCTCCAAGAGGACCTCATAGCAGCCCTCCAGTATCTGCAGGGGACCTACAGGAAAACTGGGGAGAAACTTTTTATAAGTGCATGTAATGACAGGAGGAGGGAAAATGTTCCTTTTACTGCAAGTGGGTAGATTTAGACTAGCTGTTAGGAAGAAAATCTTTAGTGTGAGGGTGGTGAGACACTGGAACAGGATGCCAGGTGAGGTTGTGAATGACCCTTCCCTGGAGGCATTCAAGGTCAAGCTGGATGGGGCTTTGAGCAAACTGGTCTAGTGGGAGGTGTCCCTGACTACAGCAGGAGGGTTGGAACTACATAATCTTAAAGGCCCCTTTCAACCCGAACCATTCTATGATTCAGTGATTATTACCACAGAAAAAATAACCTTTTTAAAAGAAAAAAAATGAAAGGAAGGAATGGAAGGAAGGGAAAGAAGTGGAGAAAGATCTTCACAAGAAGACAATATTTTTGGGGGGAAACAAGCATCCTTTCATAGCAAAATGAAAACCTGCACAATATAAACAATGCTATGAACAGGAAGTGCTTCTCATAGAAATTTTCGCCTCATTGAAAAATAATGTTAACATTAAATATAAATATGCTCTACATTATGCATGCTGTGTAATGCACTATACATTTGCCATTCATTAAATGACCTAAGCCCCATGCCTGAATTATAGATCTGGAACTATCTACCATCTCATAAATAATTACTGTGTCAAAATGTTCCTGAACAGTAGCCGAAAGACAGAAAAACAGGGGTTTGGAAAATATAGCATTTTGTATTTTAGATATTTATAGAGTGACCATACACAATCTTCCAAGTGCTCTAGGCGTTTTTATTACCAGCTCTCTTCAGGGAGGATGCCCTTTATTATCTTCATGAGTTTTACCTGGTCTTAGCCTGCCACACTCATAACTCCAGTAAGTAATGTCTTAATTATACAATTGTGCAATAAATTCTCATAATCAAGGGAAGAAATAAAAAAGGGATTAGTTTGTTAGACTGTTTTCTACTGCAAGAGCACAATAAACTAAAATAGTAATTGCCTGAGATGCAGAAATTCAAAGATCTTTATTAGTCTAGATCTTCAAAGATCAGTTCTTATACTGTTAATTTTACTCTTTGATTGGACTAAAGAAATCTTATAGCAAGACAATGCCAGTAAAGCCAAGGAGTCTTTTTTATTTGTTTCTGTCCTAAATTTAGGAAGTACTTTTGAAATACTGATTGCTGATACAGTGACATTTTCAGCTTCTCGGATTTACCCATTACTGTTTGTTCACAGACTTACAGAGATAACATACTTAAAATGAGTAAGAGGAAAGTAATAGATCATTCATTAAGAAGTGAAACACATTGGATAAGACTTTACACCTATTAAATAAGGAGATAAGTGCATTTTCTGACTGAATGACTAAGTTTCA